AAAACTTTCGTAAAAGTGCTTTTGTAAAAGTACTCTCATAAAAGTACTTTTATAAAAGTGCTTTCATAAAAGTACTTTCTTAAAAATGCTTTCGTAAAAGTACTTTTATAAAAGTTCTTTCATAAGAGTGCTTTCATAAAAGTACTTTTATAAAATTTAACTAGAGAGAATTTTATATGTGGTATTTTAAAATTCAACTAGGATAATTTTAGAAGAAAAAAAATGAATGTGTTTCTTAAAAAAAGCTGGAAATTTGGGCTTAAAAATTAGCCATTATTTTTAAAATAAGCACTTGTTTCGAGCTTATTTTCCAAATAACAATAAGTAATTAATATCCCAAATAAACACTTATTTTGAAGCACTCCCAAACATGACCTAAGATCTATCTTAATCCACCTGACCACCTGTATTCCTGCATCCAAATACATCCTAATAATTGTCGTTCAATTACGTCTTTTGAACTACAAGGATTGAGTCTAGAATGTGATATTATGATCAGCTTCTGTAACCTCTATCATTTTGTTTATTAGAAGTAATGACTACTTACATGAATTAAGATTGCACGCATCCTTCTATTTATCTCATTATTATCATCTCTTCTTGGACATTGAGTGAGAAATGTGATAGACCCGTTTGGTTCTTAGTCCGAGAAGGGTCCATCAATTATTCTCTCCGGAGACTGTTATTTGACAGTTAATATAGGGCCCCTTTGGTTTATAGTCTGAATCAAAACCAAATTGGTTCAGATAAGAATAAGAATGAGAATTGAAATTAACAGGAATAGGATTTCATTCTCAAAAAAGGGGAAGGAATGACTGTTCCCTCAAATGGGAGAATACCATTCCACCATGAATGGGAATAGAATTCCAATTCTACCCAATCAAGGAATAACCCATTCCAAGTCCAGACCCCTAATTCTCATGAATCAAATCAGACGGGGCTTAGCTAGTGTGTTTGACTCTCTATAGGACCTAGATATACATTGTAGCCTGTTTGGTGGGTTATGTTGATTGAGCCACGATTGTTGAATAGCTGTGTTACAGACAAATTATTTGGCGTAGTTTCATTTTATAATCAAAATAAAAATATTGACTTTCCAGATTTTCACCAAACAAGATTTACAAGGGGCTTAGTTTGGAATGAAATAAGTCCCGTCCTCAAACGGGCACCTGGTATTTTGAACAGGACACCGTGTAGAGAATCCATTAGATTGGGATGGGATTGATATGGATTATTTGAGATTTTTTTTTTTGTACTAGAATCAGATATCATGTGTTTTGAAATATAAAGATTCCAATGCTTCTCTAGTCATGGCAGTAAAGATTTGTCATTTGGCAAGTATTTTTAAAAAATATCTTTCAACAATTTGATAGCCTGGCCAAAAAGATATCAAGACTGTTTGGTAAGTATCCTCATATACAGTGGTCCCTTTATTACTGAAAAAAAAAATCCTGACATGCAGTGTAGGGATGTCAAGAGACCGGATCTGCTCCTCACATAGGGCACCTCACCCGTGCCTCACACGCAAATCATACCATGCATTGGGAACATCTTGCAAACTTATAAGTTATTATTCACAGGAAATGTTTCCAATGCATAGTGGATGTGCATGTGAGGTGCCCCCGTGTGAGGAGCAGATCCCATTCTAGGATGTCAATATGTTGAGTTCGAGTTGGGTCTAGGTAGAACCGGAATCAACCCAACAATAAATATTAAGGACCTAGAATTGAATTGGATCCAATAAGGTTTGTAATTGTAGACCTAGAATTGAACCGATCGGTTATATATATAGTTCAAATTGGGGACTGTTCATTTCCTCTTATTTCTTATCTCTTAAAGTGCAATTATATAATTTTTTGTTTTACAATGATACCCCCAAAAAGAAAAAAAAAAAACCTCTCATATATGGGGTCAAAATGGATATTTGATCATTTTTAGAATTCAAAATTCATAATAATATTCTTTGCATTCAGAGTTCAGAGGAAAGAAAAGTTCACCAATACCAATATACCTCTTAATGTAATTTTTGCACCTTTAGATCTCAGACTTTAGAACAAATGAATAGGCCCTGGGTGTAAATTGGTTTGGGATCGAATGGTATAGATTGCAAATCGATAAGAATTGAAACTATCAAGTACTAGAACCGATCCATTCCGATTTTTGTAACCATAACCAATCCAATCGGGTTTGGGTTCAATGGGTCCAACCCGGCCCATTGATAACCCTAATGCACTGGTCGTCTATTGGACTAAACAAAATATTTTATGCATGGAAAGACAATAAGCTTTTGATTTTTGGCCGTTTCAAGCTTTTATGAACATTCTGGGATGCAAGTCTTTTTGGTAAGATTTCATTCTCAAGTAAGGGGCAGAGAATGTCATTCTAGTAGGAATTAGAATAACCCATTCCGATTTTGATTTCAAACCCCTATTCCTGCGAATCAAACGAGGCCTCAATTTTGTATTCTGTAGGGTTGTTCATAAGAAGACCCAACCCGACCAAACCGATTCAACCCGAGTCAGACGGGTTTTCTTCAGCACCAGTCGGTTTCAGGTTATAAAAAATCTTAAACCGATGATTCAATTCGGTTTCGATTTTCATGTGTAAAAACCGAAATTGACCCAAACCGAACCGACTTAGTAGTTAGTTCCTAGTTAGTAGTTGCAACCTACTTAGTTCCTACTTAACTAAGTTGTCTCTATCCTAGTTAAGTTAGGTTGTACAGTAACTAAGTCACCACTAAGTAGAGCTGAAACTAACCCAAACTGACACAAACCGACTCAAATCGATCATGTCGGTTTTGCTTAACACAGGATCGATTTTGGTTTCAATTTCAGGTAACCTAACCATGTCGAATTAATTGGAAAAACATGAATAAACCGACCCAACCCGATCCGTGAACAGCCCTAATTTTCCGAGCTTTGAGAAGTCGGTAAGAGCACAGCAAAGACTTTTGACAAATTATGATTAATCTGGTCAGCTCCCGTGACGACCGATTCCAATCAAACGGTTTACACTGTGCTCATCTAAACAAAACACATCACGTCGCATCTCCAACTTGCGTCGCGATTGTGGTAGATTCACGCTTATCCGAATTACGTTTCATTCACGCTACGAGACAACATAGAACCGGCGATAAAAAGATGTGGCCTGTGGGCGATCAACGGCAAGGAAATCAGAGAGTCGAGCGAGGCCCCAGTATCGTATAGAGTATAGGACATGAGTCAGAACGATCCCACTCCGCATGTGGCCAACCACCACCAGGACCCATGTGACAAGAACCACATGAAATTTGACACGTGGCATTCATGTCTCTCCTGATCCACGCGCTTTTCCCTGGAAAAATTCCCTGCCACAAATCATCTGAACCGGTTGTACTTTCCACGTCGGCCTCGTTGCCACGTCATCCCATCAGTCCATATCCACAAAAATATCCCTTGCATTGGGAATATCCCAACGTAAGGCTGTAGAGGTTGTTGGAGGCTTGGAGCGGGCTTTGCCCCGACCAAAGCCGGACTATTGCTCCATAAATTACGATAAAATATTCCCTCTCCCACTTTGAGGCCTCTAATTACTATATTGCCCTCGGTTCCCTCAAGTGTCTAATCCAGTACACCGGTCAGCCAGCGTGAATCGTTGGATGGGTATCTTTTCTGTCGGGATCTAAGTTATCTACTAAGGTCCATAACTGTAGGAAGTAGGAAACACGCTTTGGCAGTTTGGCCTATGCTCAGCCGAAAAGGCTGGTCTGAAGCTAGAGGTTCCAATCGAATGGTTGTAATTTGTTTTCCTTGGATTGTACTATTAATAATCCAAAAAAGAACTGTAGTTGCCGTAAAAGCGCAAGTGGGGTCACAAAATTTGCTACGACGAAGTTTTAGGGAAGCGCAAAAACCACAAAATGACAAAATTAATGATGTGGATGTAATTTGGGTGGATAAAGGCATAAAAATATCAGTTCAAAATTTTATATATTTAATTTTGGCTTGATATTACAAATAAAATAAAACATTTTACATATAAAAGTTTATATACAAACATAAAAATATTATACATAACATAAACTCAATTAGATTTAAGAACTTTATCAACCGAATTTTATTGAACATAAAAGCTCAATTTAAAAATCAATTTATGTGTACATCACGTGTTCCATATAGTGTTGTTAACCGATCGAATTTGAATCAGGATTATAAAATTGAAATTGACCCAACAAGAAATATCAAGGTCCTAGAAATTGTTGGGTCAATTTAACCGATTGATTCGCTTTTGGTCTTTGGGTTATGTAGTTTTTGACCCAAAGACCAAAAGCAGGTCTGACTTGATGGATAGAATTATAATAAACCTGCTAAACATATCTATCTATCTATCTATTTATCTATAAATATATATTAATTATATATTTGCTTTAGTCCGATCTAAACTCAATAATTAAGTTTATTGGGTGAACGCTGTCACATAGGCACCTGTGAGCAAAGGCCTCATTAATTACATCTGTACCATTTCTAGAAGCTTTCTTGAAACGGATAAGCATTTAGTGGCACTTTACTGATGTGGTGTCTAATGATGCCTATGTATCGTAAACGCCTTCATTAATTGTTTTTCTCGATTTTATAACCACACAAGTATAAAACGCTTACTTAATAAACGTAAACAAACCCAAACACCTTCAATAATTGAGACAATAAATTAAAACCCAAATCAATCCACAAATACAAATCCTAAAACCAGAACCGGTCCAATTGGTTCGAATCCATCGAATCAAACCGACCCGTTGACAACCCTAATCCTTTAGCAATACACCCGGTCTTAGCAAAAGTGAACTCGGTGGGGCCGTGGGGGCAACGGGATTCATTGTTTTCCCAACTCCATCCTAAGCAGCAGGATAGCAACCACTATTACGATGACACGTGGCATTTCTGATTGGATGATTCCAAAATCCTAACATCGCCTGAAAAAATGCCTCTTTTCTTCCTTGCTCCTCCTATATAACAGATGGTTCGCTTCACACTCTGGCGACCATGAGCAGAGCAGCCCACCTGAATACTGAAACGAACGAAGACTCTGATTTCTTCTATTTCCTTTCAGTCTCGTATCTTATCAACCATACTGTTTTCATTTTTTTTTTCCTTCCTTTTCCTTACTTTGTGAATTGAGATGGAGGTTTCAGTAATTGGATGTTCTCAGGTGAAGATCGGAACTACCGATTCACCTTATTGGAAGCTTGGGTTTTTTAGTTCCAAGCAGATTTTCACCAGAAAAAATAAGGTTTGTTTTAATCTTGCTAGAAGATGGACAACAGCTGAAATTCAAGTCTCTCTCAAGGCAACACAACCGGAGGTTTCCGGATTGGAGAAAATTGCCGGAGAGAGAGCGATGCCGAAAGGATCGAAGCTAGTAAGTGTTATTTTTTCTTTCCTTCTGTTCGTTTTGAATTGCAGAAATTAGGGTCTCGACCTTAATTCATCGGAGAAATCTGTGTATATCTATTGAAATTAATTACTATTTTTGATGCAGGAGGATGAATTAAGCTTATTTGTTGGGCTTCCTCTGGATGCTGTTTCCCACAGCAACACACTGAACCATGTAAAAGCAATCGGGGCAGGGCTGAAAGCTCTGAAACTTTTGGGGGTAGAAGGGGTCGAATTTCCCATCTGGTGGGGGATAGCCGAGAAGGAAGCCAGAGGAAAGTACGACTGGTCGGGATATCTTGAGCTTGCAGAGATGGTCCGAGACGCGGGTCTCAAGCTTCGCGTGTCTGTCTGCTTCCATGCCGCCAAACAAGCCAAAATTGAACTCCCTGGTTGGGTGTCAAAGATTGGTGAAGCACAACCAGACATCTTCTTCACCGACAGGTCGGGACGGCGCTACAAAGAGTGTCTGTCGCTGGCGGTGGACGATTTGCCCGTCCTCGACGGGAAGACTCCGGTTCAGGTTTACCAGGAATTCCTGGATAGCTTCAAATCTTCATTCTCAAACCTCATGGGCTCTACAATTGTGGTAAGCTTCAAATCTTCATTCTCATGTCTCAACCCATCACATTTATTTATTTGTTAGAACCGGTTCTTATCAATGGCCGCTTTTTCTGTGATCTCCTCAGGATGTTTCAGTGAGCCTGGGACCGGATGGAGAGCTCCGCTACCCTTCTCGGCCGTCGGCGAGAGGTGGCAAGATTACAGGAGCAGGAGAATTCCAGAGCTACGACAAAAACATGCTAAAGCATCTGCAGGAACACGCCCAGGCGACCGGAAACCCCTTCTGGGGCCTCTCAGGTCCCCATGACGCCCCCAACCACGACCAGTCGCCCTTCGCCAACACCTTCTTCAAGGAGAACGGAGGCTCATGGGAGACCCCATACGGCGACTTCTTCCTCACCTGGTACTCAACCCAGCTCATGTCCCACGCCGACCGCCTGCTTTCCCTCGCCTCGACCTCATTCTCCGACGCCCCTGTAACTCTATCCGGCAGACTCCCACTCCTGCACTCATGGTACAAGACTCGCTCCCACCCCTCCGAGTTGACAGCCGGTTTCTACAACACCGCCAACAGAGTCGGTTATGACGCCATAGCCGAACTCTTTGCTAGGAACTCGTGCAGGATGATAGTGCCCGGCATGGACCTCTCCGACGCCCACCAGCCACAGCAATCACTCGCTAGCCCTGAGTCGCTACGTTCGCAGATCATGGGGGCCTGCAGAAAGCATGGGGTAAGAGTCTCCGGGGAGAATTCATCCCTGTCTTTGGCTCCGGAGGGTTTTGAACAGATTAAGAAGAATCTGTGTGGAGAGAATGCGGCGGTGATGGATGGGTTCACTTATCAGAGGATGGGAGCATATTTCTTCTCGCCGGAGCATTTTCCTTGTTTTACGGAGTTCGTCAGGAGTCTCAACCAACCCGGGTTACATTCCGACGACCAGACGGCCATGACGGAGGAAGGGGAGGGTGTTACTACTGTAACTTTATGCAGGGTATCAGAATCGGAGAAGAAGCTCGAGGCGCAAGTCGCCTAGGAAGAAGAAGAATCGGATTATCGTAGATAAGTTATATACGACGACGATATCTGTAAATGATAGAATAAAAGGGAGAAATAAAGATTATAGATAGAATACTAATAGTATGAGTGTATGAGAAGAGGTTTTATTGTTTATGAGTTTCAGTAAACAAAAATAACGAGATATATGTGTTATTAGTAATTCCCTGCAAACTGGTAATCTCCATGGCCACGTTGTGAAGTTATCACAAAGCGGAGGGTGAAGGGGAGATACCGGAGAGAATCAAGGGTGAAGGGGCAGGAATAATAATTGGGAAAAAAACAGAAATAACATCGACATCTACCGACTGACCAATCGCTATATTGAAAGTTCTTCGACTATGACAGCTCAAAATACCCACGGACAGAAAAAAACCAAAAAATAATTAAAAACTTTGAAAAACGCCGTCTGTGGAATCGAACCCACGACCACGTGGTTAAAAGCCACGCGCTCAAACGGCTGAGTTAAGACAGCTTCGGTGATACGTTATGTAACGTAATATAATTATAATATTATTGCATTCCATAATCCCCGCTCGTTTGGCGGCATCAAGCTTAGAATTTGGCAGAAGCCAAACATGCAAAGCAACATATCCCAATTTTTTTTTTTTTTTTTTTTTTTTAATTTTGCAAGTTCTAAATAATGGAATGTCAAGTTTAAACTCAATCAAGTAAAAGTAAAGCGGCTAAATCTCAATTTTGATAGAGTACAAATATAAATACTTAGAGTGTAAAACCTTGTATTTTGTATGTATTTGCATCCTACATATTTGTATTTGTATTTTTTTCAAACTGAACCTCAAGTTCCATTTGAGAAGAATGTAAATGCAAATATGTTTAGTGCAAAACCCTTTATATGGTATTTCTAAACCTTGTAATTGCATTGTACATGTATTTTTTTTTTCCGATCCAAAGGGCTATACAATGAGGATAGCCTGTCCCTCAAGCCCGGTGTACAAATACATATAAAATACCCAAATTGATGCTTAGGCTCGGATTAGAAAAACAAATACAACTACAGATATGCATAGTACAAATACATACAAAATAATACAAAGCACAAGGTTAGGCACTCTACAGTATTTTTGCTCTTCCCAAACTGAGCCTTGCTTTAACTTTTAAAAAAAAAAAAAACTGTAGATATGTTAGGACTCAGGTGGGAACATATATTTAAGATTTGAGAATGACATCATATTCTTGAATGGGAGTTTAAAAAAGTAAAAGACTGCTGTTCTAAGTTTCATATCTTGCCTGTGCAAACCAAGAGATCTCAATACAAATACCCTAAGAAATATTTGCCAATTAATAACTCCTTTTTTATAGAAAGCTTATTACATGGAGTATAGACTCATTTTCTTTACTCTACTTAAACCCTTATAACTGACTCTTTTTTCTTTTTACTGGAGTATAGACTCATTCAGTCCACAGGGACTATTTGAACACAAGAAACCCAAATATGGTGATAGTGTTAGAGAATGAAAACCTCACCTAAGGGCTTAAGCTTTTAGGTTGAACAGTTTTTGAAATAGTATCATAGCTTGTTTGGCCAAATGGTCTAGTATTTGATGCTTGTTGCCCCTATTATAATTAATTAAATTTTAACAAAAGGTATAAATGGGTTTGTACTTGTCTATGCTTCAAGCCCAATGGGCTTTTACATGAGTGAGTGTGTTAGAGAATAGACCTCACCTAATAATTTAAGCTTTTAGGTTGAACGGTTCCTTAAGAGATAGTTCAGGTTCAGGACCTCATGTCCTTAGAGAAAAGAGAAGGCTCAAAAGAGAGCAAACATCTTAGGGGCTTTACATCACTCCTACCATGCTCCATCCAACCACTTCTTGATTTTCATTTCAAAACCCTAAAACCAAAGCTTAAGGAACATGGCAAGAGAAAGTCCACTTGTGTTTCATCACCCATTTCCTTCATCAAACCCAAGTTAGGGTTTGGAAAAATGGTGGCATCAATATGCCATACCGATGACATTTCATTCCCCTTTATCAACTTCATCTCCCATGCAAGTAACTGAAAAACTTAACCAGATACACAAATGAAGGCTCTGGGGATCTCCATGATCAATAAACACTAAATCTTAGAAGAAATAATAATTATGCTTTTATTATATTGTATGTTGATGGATCATTCAGACCTAATATGCTTGCTAGTGTTGCTTTTGCTTTGGTCTTTAAGGTTGTGTTTGGAAACAATGCAAATAAGTGTGAATACAAATATGTAGAGTGTAAAAAGGTTCATATAAATTGCAAAATTGGATTAATTTTGCACTGAAAAATTTACCTTCTTACTAAACAGACTTTTAGCTGTAATGGATACAAACATGGATTCCAATAAAGCATATACTTTTTTTATCAAAAGCCCACTTGAATGCAAATGTACTTTTTTTTATTTACTTACTTTTACATTTTTTTATCAAGGTAAATATGCATTGTTCTGTCATTTGTCAATGCATAAATGTAATATTGCCAAACACAGGCAAAAATGAATTAGAGTGCAAATTTACCCTGAATCGAGATTTACACTCCATTTACATCGTTTCCAAACGCAGCCTAAGAAAGCCATCTCATCATTGTAGCAGGTCTACAACAGTAGGAAGCAAAGATACTGAACTACGTGCTATAATAAAAGGCCTTGAAGCAGCTAAAAAGAAAGGAATCAAGAAATCTTTCAAAAGATGTGATTTTTTTTTAATTGTATCTTGAGTAGCAATATTTTTTATGTACAAAATGTGTGATTGGATAGGAACAAGTTAAAAAAAATTGGAATTCGAAGATAGAATAGAACTAAGATGTCGTATAACGTACACCTGGCATGGGCTGAACTCAAGTTCAAAAATAAACCTAATAATTGAACCTGAACCTAGGCATTTTCTGTTAATAAGTGGTAAAACCCAACCTGTAAATAGGTTTAGAAATGATATTTAAAATAAACTACAGACTAATCAAAACTCAAAATAGCAATTAGGCCATGTTTGATTCAATTCATTCTTTCTCGTTCTTACCCAAGGCGAAATTTTAAAATGGACAAGAGTGGTAAATTAAGCAGGATGATAAAATATTACCATGAACCTAACGCTTTTTTCCTAAAAATGAATTCTTTTCAGACTGACAAACGTCCTATGTAAAAGTACTTTTATAAAAGTGCTTTCGTAAAAATACTTTGATATAAGTACTTTCATAAAAGTGCTTTTATAAAAATATTTATGTAAAAATGATTTTATAAAAATACTTCCGTAAAAGTGCTTTTATAAAAATACTTCCGTAGAAGTGCTTTTATAAAAATACTTCCGTAGAAGTGCTTTTATAAAAGTACTTCCATAAAAATGCTTTTATATAAATACTTTCATAAAAGTATTTTTGTAAAAGTGCTTTCGTGTAAAAGTGATTTTATTAGTGTCTTCGTAAAAATACTTCCACGATAGTTTGCTAGTAAATATCTATAGTTGCAGTTTTGTAGGCAGAGTTTTCCTCAAAGGATGAAAATGAACAAGATGGGGCATTATTATTTTTCATGCTGCAAGCTACCTCAATTTTTGTGCTACGGGCTGATTTTTCATTCTAAAAAGAATATGATCCATGACAAAAATTTTGTAACCAAACACTAATGTTGTTCATTCTTGTCTACAATGAGCAAGAATTAAAAGAATGAGGCCCAAAGTAGTGAATCAAACATGACTTAGATTTCTAAGTCGCAGATTTTTAGGATTTGTCGCCCAGTATAAAGAAGATTACACTCAGAGGTGTAAACGGAGAAAATTCAAATCAGATCATATACACACTCCAAACCGATTAAAAAACCAAAGACTTTAATTCAATATGATATCCAATGGATCTTTAAAAAACAAATGATATTAGATTGAAATAGTGTTAGAGCATGTGTTATGTATGTGTACAAATAAAAAGTTAACATTATATAATCAAATCTAAATTCTATGGCCTAAATCAAAACTAAGTAAAATATCCTCTTTATATACTATAGACATTCAAAAACTTATATTCAATCAATTAATTGAAGAATGCAACTAAGATGCATTGGATGTACTTCATATTTACCTGGAGTATTTCTCTAAAAAATATAGCCATCCCTACCCCCTCACATTAATTCCATAATTCTGATTTATGCAGAAACCAAGTCAAAATAGAAAAACTCAGACTCAATTTGAAAAGAATGCAAATATATACAATATAAATACATGCAAAATAATATAAAATATAAGATTTTAGACCTACATATTCATATTTGTACTCCTTGCAAACTGAGCCTCACATTGGATTTAGGGAGCATTCTTTTTTCGGATTTTGAAAGGGAAGAAAGTTGGTCAATGGGATTTTTGTTCACATTAACCAAGAATCTCATGTTCATTTTTCAGATTAATGCGAGGACTAGAGAAAGTTTAATTTCCTAGACACCCATCTCCTAGGTGGGTAAATACCTTTCCCAGCTAGGAGAAAAGTTGCCAACACTTGAATGGAACAAAAATGCCCTTTTAATAATATATTTTTATGATTAAAATGGTCATTACCTTATTTACCTGATGAATAAAAGAACATGGATAAATGCACTTACCTGGTTAAGTATTTCCTAGAAAAAACTTACCCAAATAATTGTGTTTACTCGAATAAATAATTTATCGAAAAGCGAACAAGGCCTTAGAGATAATCAGGCTCAAACCCATGACTTCCATAACATCAATATGACACTTAATCACCAATGACATATATCCCTCATTTCCTCAAAATAAAATTGACAAATTCTAAGCTCTAAGGCAAGCCTTAGGCTGAGTTTGAAAGGACTACAAATGCTATATAGAGTGCAAAAACTTTATATTTTGTATTATTTAGTATGTATTTACACTGTACATATTTGCATTTATACTGCTTCCAAAGTCAACGCCACTATTCCTAAACAACTTGGAACCTAGACTTTTTGCAATAAATGAAAAGTGCTCCTATTGGATGCATTTCCCAATATTTGCTATAGAATAGTTTAAATCAAAATTTCAACCAATGACGTTAAATGAAACTCAAGTACTAAGATCTAATTGAGAGAATAAAAAGCATCCATTTGATCGAATCACATCATAACCGAATTCAATCCCTGTATAAAAAAAAAAATTCAACCCAATGAACTAAACAATATAAGCTTTTATATCCGAAATAGACATATTATTATTATATTAAAATCATCTGAATTCGGTTCCATTACTTGGAATCTTCTTCAATAAGAGTACATGACATCGGACTTCTTCCATGAAACTTCAAATTCACGGAACATCTCGTAAAAAATCCAGATTCGAGACAGATAAGACCAGAAGATAGAAACGAGACATAATATTAACTTCTGGATTATAGTCAGACGTTCTTTCCAATCCAGTAAGTTAACTCGGAATACCTACAGGGAGTACAAAACCATGGCTCAACACCGCCATTTTGATTTTGTCCAGTACACCTCGGACTATAAATTGGAACTCAGGCGTTCATGTTTCAGTTTCACAGGATTTGAAAATGATTTGCAGTAACCAAATGCCAGGACATGTATACCTCATCTTCAGAATGGCTGTTATGTACACAAACAATAAAAACAAAAACTATACAACATACAAAACGCAAATTGGCAATTGGAGACCAGTTCCGCCAACCAGTAGCTTTGTATTAAACTTTCTCCAGCAACATCCACACTACTGGTACATACCCAGTGAACTCTGTTATAATGCTCAAGCCCATAATAGATGTTCAAACACTCCACTGCTCCAAGACCAAAGGGACAAAATGGATTTAGTAAAGGGCACACAATGATGGTTGTATGTAAAAGCAAAATTTAAAAAATGATCTGGACCACTAATTCAAAGAGCAGTATCCCTTGCTGCCTTAACAGCTGCCAAGAAAAATTGAACCTATATTGAATTGAATAGGTCAGACACAGCATGATCAAGGTTCACTTGCTGTACATTAATCATCCACTCCACTAATTCACCCCATATAAAGGCTAGATGTCAAATAAATAAACTAACTAAATCTCTTGCTTCAAATCATTTAACTAGCATACTGTAAATTGCTGGTTAATTACAGTGATGGGGTTCACCCACCACTTTAGCATGGATGGCCTGAATTGATCACCCATACAACTTCAACAGGTAACAGTATCATAGAAAATCAACTTATATGCCAATACCAAACATACCCACTCTATGTTTATTCTCATTGATCCAGACATTTGTGAAATGCCCATTGAATGTATACAAGTTCTATATGACCTACGAAATAATTCACATCAGTAGTTCAGTGTATCCCCCCCGACGCTCACCCAACAGGCAAAATACACCTTGACAAATTGTTGATGCCTAATGTTAACTACGTTGAACTTTTCCATATTTTCAATTGAAAGTTCAATGCATGCAAAGACAGTTTCACACACCTGTTTGTCATTCACAAGCAATCTTGGTGTCAAAGCTGCTGAGACAGATAGCAAATGCCTGGAAAGCAGAAATGGGATACCGGTAATCCATGGTGAATAAATCCTTTCCCACTTTACCAAACTGGAGGAGGACCTTCTCGTGCTCTTGTCCTGCTGGTCCATTCTCAGGAGAAGCTACCAGTTGAAAATTCTTCACAGAAGCAACTGTCACACGCCCACGGAAGTTAAGACACCAGCATTGGAGCTGCTCATGCCACCTAGGAGCCTTGTTTTTTAAAACCAATGATCCTTCCTTTGGGGTAGCCAAAGGTCCTGATTGGAAATTCTCTGTGCGGGCTGATTTTGATCTGAAGAATGGAAGTGATGGGAAGGAATCAATGTTGCTAAGTGGGAATTCAGTCTGTGTCGGGGCCACACCTCCTGGTTCAATTGCAGAAGCTGGAATGGAATCCATTATAACCTGCATTCTCCTTGGACCCCTGGAGGTCCCATAACATATAATTAGTGTGGTTGTTTTCTGAAAAGCATAGAAACAGGGAAAAAACACTAAAAACTGATAAAGATATAACTCCACAAGTAATCGGTTACTATGCAGACTCAAGAACAGAACATGTTGTGCAGATAAAAAACTGATAATCATCACCCTTTTCAGGAAGAAAATTACAACTAGTGACATAAACTTGTTATCTTACCTAGAACCCAAAACATTCAGCTCATAAGAAATGTGTGCTACGGGATAGTTGCCAGCAGGGATTCTTGGAGAGACCTGTTTCAAACCCACTAACCGAGTGGAGCGGCTTTTTGTAACTCTAGCCCCAGCATGAGGAGGCTGTGCATCGTATATGGTAAATTTGGTCCCCAAAAAGTTGGACCTATTAAGAAGAACAAGATGGTGAATCTCACGCTCACATGAAAGCCAAGAATCATTTAACATCAAATATGTCAGCCGGAACATACCTCAACTTCCCAATGTAGGTCCCACTCCCCTTTGACATATCATCAGCATATAAGGAGATGATGTAGTCTGTGCATGTTGGACGTCGACATTTGCGTGCAGCAAGAAGGAACTTGCCATTATCAGTTAGTGCTGCAAGGATAACAAGTAACAACAGAAAGAAAATCACTACTGAATAAAAGGAAACCAGACAAAACTATGAAAGAGACCTTAATTCCTCCAAATGTCATATTCTACAACAAAAAAGCTTAACTTTTTTTTACTAGTCTAAGTAACCATAGCCATAAAATAGTTCTTTTTGGTAAGAGCATTAATACAACTTTCAGGAAAAAAAAGTCGAACCAATTCCATCTTAAAGAGTAAATATGATGAACCTAAAGCAGAGATGAAGTGCTCACCTTGAGATAGGCCAAGGTAGAGATGATATGTTTGGGTGGTGCGATTCCGTTTTATAAAACATTGGAGGACGGAGTCTCTAGGGCCAGGCTGCAAATTTGTAATAAAGATTAGGATATTTGTGAATGGATGTAGAAAGTTTTGGTTAAAAAAATGCACAAAATGCTCGGGAAACACAGAAGAAAATGTTAAGAATACTACTTTTCTCTTCTCCTACCAATAAAAAAGAATAATAACTTCTCTTCTAGAATTGTTAGACTCTTGTAACCAATTAATTCATTGCAAGCAAGGTGAAATCATCGGTACAACACCACAACCAAGGTTTCAACAGTAACTGGGAGGACAATCTGAAATGAACAATAAAGAAAACCCAAGCTCAGCATACCTTAACAGAACTAAGCAAACAACAGAAGGAAACAGAGAACTCCTAACAGGTTTTCGTTTAAGCTATACATTAGGGGGGGGGGTACTCAATAGAAGTCCACGAATGGCTCGAAGGGATAGCCGATCCCCTTGAGATTCCTCTCTAATAGAGGTAAAACATAAAACTCCAAGAAGAAAAAATAGAAATTCCTTTCAGATTCTAACAGACCGAATTAACTCGATCAGACAATCCAGCTGCAAAACACTCAACGTCAAGGTGCTAATAATACCAGAGAAATCAAAACACGAATAAGCCCCAAATGCAAGGGAAAACCAGGTACTAAAACCAACATAAGAAGAGTAGAATTCGAATGTGAAGTATAAACGGCAACATCACAAACCTGCTTCAGGGAGATCGGAAATGTCAGCTTGGCGGAAACTTCAGGAGTCTTCACGATCTCTTTTGTGATTTCCCTCCAACTCCTGCAAACCCCAGCACAAGCAACAACGTGTTTCCGAAGGGGCCAGGCACCTTCTGACTCTTCTATCCTCATCAGCACGTCCCTCAGTAGCTCCTGCGGCATGTTAGCCCAACAACTCTGCTTCATGGCGTCGATAAGAACCGAAGAATCCTGAACCACTCGATGTGACCTCGATCTCAACCCATAACCCAGCTTAACTTCAAAACCCTTCCTTGAAATGCTACCGATCTCCCCCTTCATGTCCTGAATAATACTCTTGAGAGACATCACTTGCTTCCCACTTCTTCACAAGTCAAAACAACATTAACAAGACATCTACGGAATTCCAATCCCTCCAAATCCTTATCGACTCAGGTTGTTTTCAATCCCCCAAGCATTATCCAGAAAAAAAAACAAAAAGTACCCTTCAGAGCTTACAAACGAGAAACTTACTAATTACACAGAAACAGATAAGAGCGAATCTCCGACGATTAGAAGCGTCAAAATCCTTAAAACAACACTACCTTCAATGGAAATAACAGACTATAATCATAAGCTCTTCTACAAAATGACGAAATCACACGCGCTAATTGCAGAACAGCCTATCAAAGAGCTGATAAAGCAAATAGCCACAACAGGAAGAGGAAGCGCTGGCCGTGGACTCAGCCGCTTAAATCTTCTTCCCAAAGGATCACCGAATTACCTCCGAGATCCGTTCCTTGGAAGCTTCAACTTAGGTTGAAAAAGCAACAGATTTAAGGTTATTTACACGGATCCGTAAATTCAAAGCATCAAACGAAATCCCAAAATGTAAAAGATAAATTAACCCCAAATATTCTTCACCTTCCTCGAGCTCAAAAGCATCAAATCTGCACTCCCAGCTGCAGATTTCTCCACCAAATAACACAAAAGAAACAGAAAAAAAAGGAGGGAAACCCAGCTCTCTTTTGTGGAAAATTTTCCGTAACAGTCAGAAGTGTTTATGTTCACGGCTAGATTGCAAAAAGTAGCGCGCGCGCGCGCGCGAGAGAGAGAGAGAGAGAGATTAGGGTTTGCTTCTGCAAATCGACCTGTCTGTTCCCTTTGGATCGGCCGCGACGGATAATATCGTGATGCAGATGGATCTCTATGGCCTTATCCTAATATAAAATTGATCTGCTTTATTAATTATTTGTTTATTTACTATATTTAGCAATTAATAATTTCCAAAGCGAAACTGATATGTTATGCTGAATGTCAGAAATACCCTTCTGGTATTTTACTTTTTACGGAGTCCAAGAGAGAGAAAGAGAGACTGACGAGAGTGAGCGAGCGAGAGAGAGAGAGAGCGCTGACCGCTGACTCGCCGAGGGCTTTATTTAGGTCATAAGTAATCCAAACAAATCAATGAAAATCTGATCTAAATTCTTATGCCTCAGTGGGCAGAATTGGTAATTTGGGCATAAGCATACAAGTAACATGGAATCATGGATAATAAGACAATTGACACTCCACAGACATTAAAGCTTCTCCACTCACTTTGATGGAAAATCTTGTCCACGTGGCAAATTTTAGGGATTGGTCTCTGAGATATCTCACTGGAGAGTACAATCAGATGTTGAAAGTCATCATCATGCTTAGCAGGTTGATAGTGGATGGTAGTTTGGAGGATTGAATTGAATTTATGGAAAAAATCAGACCAACCCAATAATGGTAGTCCATTTAACACGTTGGACCTTGCTTCATTTCTTCTCTTTGAATTGATTGCCTTGTAATTTTAACTACTATAGGCTTCTAACAAGCTCAATTGATGAGTCAGTTCACAATTGGAGAGAGAGCAAAATCAGACCAACCCAATAATGATAACCCATTTAACATCATAGACCCTGCTTCATTTCATCTCTTTTGGATTCATTGAAGCAAAATCAGACCAACCCATTTAACATCATAGACCCTGCTTCATTTCATCGCTTTTAGATTCATTGAAGCAAAACCAGACCAACCCAATAATGGTAATCCATTTAACATGTTGAACCCTACTTCATTTCATGTCTTTTGGATTCATTACATTGTAATTTTAACTAGGGTTCTAACGAGTTCATTTGTGAGTCAATTCACAATTGGAGAGAGAGAGAGAGGGTCTACTTGGTGTGATGGGTCCACCAAAATATGGGTTGTTGGAGGATGATAGATTGATAATGGGGTGTGTATAGGGCCAACAACAACTAAGACACTGTACAAATGGCCAATCCCAAAGTGTTGCTTATCAATCAAAACCCATAGAGATTGGTTTTCTTATTGACAACATCCTCAACCCATGTGATTAACAGAAATGTGGATGTCCTCTCATGGGTCGGCCGGTCGGCCCACCCTGTCTTTCAGGGCATCCCTTTTAGTTGTGGATGCTGACAATACAGACTCCCCACTTAGCTTTAAGTTGCTCTGCAAATCATGCTTTTGCTAATTGTTGGTGGATTAGCAAGTTCTTTTCTTGGTTCCAAACCTTTAATCCTTTTGAGATGGGAATGTTTTTCAATGCACTAGAACCGAGATCAGATTCAATCCTCACAAGACCGTATTCATAGCCAATTGCGTGTATTGAGAATATCTTTGTACTTGTATGTTCTAATTTATGGAGAGATATTTTCAATGCACACTAGTGATGCATAGTTCTCTCTATGGTATACCTTGATTGAATTATTTCACTAGATTGGTCTCCATCTAGGCCAATTGTCTCCCCCCACCCTCCCAGATAACTTTCATGCAAAGCAATAGATCTTTGTAGGTTTCTGAGACCTTTCTATTTATTTCACAGCATTTCCATGTGCAAACAGAATTACAGACCAAACCTACCTTCTTTTGCTTTAACAATGCTCTCTGGTACGAGTCAACATCCCTGCTGCAAGGGTGCCATTCAATGTTTCAACCCATTCAAGGCAGTGAAAAGGTTATTTGGTTAACTGTGAGAACAAGCTGACGACGATCGGGTAATCTAGGTGGCCAGTTGGCACCCCTCCATTGTACAGACGAGGGGTTGGACTAAGACCACATCTCCACCCTACAACGTCCTGTCCCACAATGCCCCACAGCACATCCCGCCATGTATTCAGAACATCTCCAGATGATGGTACCAGAACCGTTGATGTCATCATCGGGAAATACTCTCAATACACGACGGGGATATGCTGTGGGGCAGAGATGTGAACTCGGTTGGACCGCCAACAACAATGTAATCTAGGTGGTTAGTTGGCATCCCTCCCATTGAGTAGACATGGGTTCAACCCGTGTAAAGTAGGTTCTTATGGGGACCAAATAGCCTAACCCCACCAATCTACTAACTACAGGTCTAACATATAGCACCTCTCCCCTATGGGGACCAAAGCAAAAAAAGGAAAGCCTAAATGCAAAAACCTGTTGCTTAAAGGTCATGTCCATATCCAATCCATGATCAGCCCTTAGTAATAGAATTTTCATGTAGAAGTTTAGTAGGGCTCCTCTACAGTTATACCATGGTTGATTACCTCCACCCCCTAGCCCAACAAACAGCTCATGGGATTCAATAACTCTATTTGAATATGGGTTTAAGCATTTGAACTTTGTATAGGAGTGACTCTTCTTCTCATGGCATTATCCCTTCTATGACTACCTTATCAGAATTTGTGTTTTACTTTTTTTTCTTATTCTTGAATTTTTAGAAATTAATTTCATGATGATCTTATATCCTTAATTAAGGTATTTGGGATTTAGGTTCCAAACCCACAATCATTCAGGCTTTTAGGGTTTTCAAAGTAATATTCAAATTTATTAAGCAAATAATTGCTTCTCAATTCTTATGTGTTCATTTATCTAGAAATATATTATCTATAAAGAGAATCTCTTGGGCTTTAGTACATTGGACACATAGGGGCCATTTGATAATGGCTGAACTTAATGACTTATTACTTAGTTTTAAATTTCAGTTTTAGCAATTATGGGTCTCTCAACCTCCTTAATAACTTATTCACTATAACATAAAACAATAAATCTTTCAATTCAGCCTTTCCAACCATTTTAATGGTGGATCTTGATCCTTCTGATGAATTCTTTGACAAAATTTAGTGCTCTTTTAAGCAGCACATGGGAAGTTATTCTTGGCATTAAAGCTATCTAACTATAATATGCTTAATGGAATGCTGGACAGTCTAAAATAATATGTTTATAAAAAGAATTTAAGTGGAGAAAACATGAGGTGATGACAATGAAGTACAAATTAAAGGTTCCAAGAGAGAGAGACAAAAAAAGAACTTAGGTTAAAACAATGAAGTAATGTGATAGCTTACTTTCTAATAGAGATGGAATGCATGAAAGAGAGTGATAAGATTCATGTTAATAGGGTAAAATTAGGCATATCACATATGACATTGATGACAATATTCTCGTCAAGGCATTTTTTCTATTCATACAAATAAAATCGAATGAGCAAACATCGATGGGCGAGTATAGAAAAGAAATTACAAGAAACCAAACTAATTAGGGTATCATTTGGAAGTCTGAAATCTAATTCAATTAAGGTCTAATTAGACGAGAGCTTATTTTTATGTTTGAACAGTCTATATGTATGAAATCTGATCAAACTGTCTTGATTAGAGTTGTTAAAGGCAGTGGTGGGTGAATATGGGTATTGAGTTATTGACTAATGAGGGGCACTTTTGTAATTGAAAACAAGTTTTAAAAGAGTAAGGTTTGGCTGAACGTGATGACTATTCAGCAAGCTGTGAAACCAATGATGAAGTTCTACGCCAATAATAAAATACATGGGGCCTGCACCTTTTACAGTGGAGCCATGAATTTATTAATGGCGTAGAACTTCATCATTGGTTCCACAGCCATCCGAACAGTCATTGCGTTCAACTAATCCAAATTCGTTTTAAAAGCCTAGACAAATACCCATTTAATTTTTATCTGGAAATTAAAATCATATAAATGAATCAATTAGATCGTTAAATGTGTGGCCAAACACACCACTAAAAGGTGAAGAACTATTTATCTCATTAATCTGATATAGATCATATTTGACAATATTGTACTCCCTAAACCCATCATAAATAGGGGTGAAGCTAACCAAACCGGTATTACTAGTTTTTGGAAAATCAATAACTGAAACCGAATCGAAGTCGATTGGTTAACCGGTTTGATTAACTGTCGATTCAATTCATCATTTTTTTTGGTTTTTTATATTTATAATATATATTATAAATATAATAAAAATAGAAAATATATATAATATTACATTTTAAATAATAAATAATATGTTATATATTATAAATATATATTTATATATAATGCATATTTATTAAATTATAATATATAGAAAATATAATCTATAGTATATATAAAAGTGTGAATGCAATATGAAACTTTTTTGGACTAAAATTGCCCTCTATTTCTTTGTTTGAGAAATGGTATAAAAGTCATTTTATTATAACTTTAATTCCAACTTTAATGGCTACTAAAATGCCTATATTTGTGTATTTAATCTATCTTTAATTGCAAGGGCTGAAAATGTCATTCAATTATTACTTTACACCTCATTTAATCCCCTCTCATTAAGTCTTATATTTAAGGTATTAAATCCCTTTTTTTCTCTTATTAAATCATATATTTTAAGTTATTTTTCACTAATAAATGCTACTAATTAGATCTATGTCAATATTTTTAACAATATAAACCTACATATTTTAAAACTAACTCAAAAACAAAATCATTTTTTATTCAAGTGGTGGCTAAGCAATTCAACCATCCGAATCAAATTGATCAACCTATGAAGTCAAAGTTAGGTAATTAAATTTTTAAAATATAAATAAATATAGGAAATTACAAAAAAAATGTAGAAAAATTAGACATCTTTATGATATTTTTATTAACCAAATTTTAAAAAATAAGTGTAATAAACAATAATTATTTTTTATCGACAATGAAAATGAAATACATAGTTTACAACTAATCAAAAATAAAATATAAAAAAAATAATAAATAGTTTAACTTTTGGGTTAAATGTGTTAACATTTCATGTCATAAATAATTAATAAAATATAAAAATACATAAATTTTGCAAAAAAAACATTTAGGCACATGTATAATATCATATATCCATCATGTTAAACAA